GAAAGTGGATGGGATGTGGGCAGGTAGGTGGAATTTAAGACATCCACCGGTCCTTATCAAAAGTACGCTCGAGTCGTTCACTTATTACTTTATCCGTAGTGTTCGATAGCCCAAAGTAGCTCTCCAGTAATACGGATAAGACAGCAATAGAGTGCCCCCCCCCCGAACTGGAGTTTCACCCCTTCACTCTTTTTTCAAAGGAGTTAGCACTTATTTGAAAGGCAGTTTCGGTCACTTGGAAGAATGAAATGACTTATTGTAATAAACTTGTCTTTTGGTCGTACACATTTTCCATGACCATTTCTTCATGTTAGCATAATTTGTGGCCACCCTGTATACTGTCTATATCTCGCCGTCTCATTACAGGCTTTCTGCGATTTAGGCTGGTGGTCACCGCACTTGATAGAAGCTGTGTTGATAACTGTTTTCAGCAGATTTTCAGCAGATTTTTATGTCGAAACAGCAACGGCTGAGTCCGCGTTCAGATGGCGAGATATGAACTGTAGTAGGATGACAGAAGGGAGAAATCGACGTGATTAATACTGGAAGAGAGAGGGTTGAAGTCAGTGGGTGTATGATCCAACAGTAAGAGCTGGTGAAAGCCCTTCATATTGCCTTTTCTTGCTATACCGAATTTTGAATGTACTGAAAGTTAATCTAGCTCTGAAGCAAGTATAATCAACTGTTTGAAACACGTCAGTAATTTACAGCTGCTTCCATGTTTCGATTTCATCCTTGGTTCCTCCCTCCAGCCTTTATTTCACATTTAACATCAAAATTTGCAGAGTACTACGAAAGTTAGTTACCAGCAGTGCTTCTCTTGCAAGATGCAATGAATATCCGACTCTGGTCCATGCTTCAAGCCATTCGCTGTGCTCTTGCATCCAAGTTCTGAAAAAGCAAAGAAATACCTCACCATCGATATTTTCGATTATAATAACCTAAGTTCATCACGAGAATGTTCTCCTATTTGCAGGTCTACCACAGGAACGTCAGCCAATATAATTGCTCCCGTTCTGACTTTATCAATAGAATTGATAACTTTCTCCATGAACTTCAACAGCTGCAATTTATCTTTTTATTATTATTAGCATAAGGCTTTCATTATTGGAGCATGATTGCACCTTATAAGTTTTGGTAGTGATTTGCAATCCTTCCTTCATATGAACGCGAAGTTGATGCGTTGGTTTGTATGTTGTACGTATTAACCCTTTGGCGACAACGCGGATTTGCACGTGGCTTGCTCATGGGACCACGCCTCTTTTCGGCGCGCCCAACTCTCGCTCACATTTAGGCAACATGGCCCCTCAAGGCAGTTTTTCTATAGCATTTTTGACTTTAGCAAAGAACTAGATATAAATGCAGTTCTAGGCTTCCATACTGTGCATTATTTTCAAAAGAATTCCAAATTTGGAAGGGAACTCGGGTTTTAAAGGGAAGGAGGCACATCCTCTGAGAAATCAAGTGTTAAAGAGAATTTTCGATACATTCCAGACCCCTTCCTGTATCTGAGGGCAGAAAACGAAAACGTTCCTGATCAGTAATTGATCTTCAGCCTAGTAATACAAAACCCCAAATAATATGCTGGCGAGCTTAACGGCACACTCTGAATTTCTATATAATATAGCTCTTAATAAACATTTCTGTAAGCCATGCTAGTCATAGATACATGAGACTTTCGTACTTTTATTGGAGTGTTACAAATGTTTTGAATGTGCAAAGAAGGAACTTTTAAGGTGGCACCCACCATTGGGTGCCATTATCCCACGCGGCGAGCATATTGGCACCCACCGGTAGGTGCCATTGTCGTCAAAGGGTTGAAATGTCTATGATTTTCGGTGTGCCTGTTTGTATGCTCGCAAAATGAAGGCGGCTTATACATATTGCAGACTACTAACCGCCTCAAAAATGAGGATTGACATCCACAGTGAGTTCCAGATGAGCCAGGCAGACAATGTGGAAACTTTTATTTTGGGAATGTGTCCCACCAATGACCGGCCCAACGAATGCAAAGTGAGCGTGCGTGGGATTCTTCTCTAGATACCGCCTCTTACCACAGGCCTTCACTGGCTCCTTATATCTCGCACCAGATCGGTTGCAGCACCTTGTGGAATGACTGAAAGTGTTAAGTAGGTGTTTATGTGCCCGTTTGGGTGTAAACACAATCATGCTGTTGCAAAACATTTATAGCGCAAGCCCTGCAAGCTACCCAGATTTGTTAGCGGCTTAGTTATCCCGTACCAGTTTAGCTCCGCACGCATCCGCACGCATCATATGGTGGGCTTCAGTGAAACTGGACAATCTATAGAATATTAGGTCACATGGCTGACAAAAATTATTGAGCTGCTTTGAAAAATGCTCCTGATAAAATGCAAAGGCTGCAAATTCCGCCGAAGACTATCGCGCAGTGCACGCGTAGCATGCGGAATGAAAATGGCTTATCATGAGTTTGTAAACATTTAGCATTAATATCAAATCAGGATAATTTAGCAGTCTATAGAATCAATACGTGAGTATCGCCGAAAGAGTGAGACATGACCATTCATTCTGCAACTAACCTAGCTCTGATGATAACTTGTCATTTTTCCTGGTCCATATAGTTGAGCGTTTCAACTTTTTTTGCACCCTTTGCACCATGTGGTGAATAGATAGAAATGAAGCATATTCACGGGCTAAGAACCCGGCTTAGCCTTGCCGCCACGATGGCAGTGTTAATTGTAACAAAGTTGTAGCGTTCGCATTCAGACGCCCCTTATCATTTCTTGTCATTTACCGTTCACGCGGATAGCATCGTTGTCCCCGTCCAACCGCCTATGAAACATGTAGAAGCGAAGGTTTTGCTGTCACCACGAAGACAACAACGAATATGATTGTACTCAAATTCTGGACTTCGTTATCAGCCGTTATCCATTGTTATCACTTTTGATCACTCATCATTCGTATTCCCGTAAGATTCTCCGTACCATATGTAAGAGCCAAAAATCTAATGTCACTGCGAAGGCCGCGACGAAATTGGTGGTGTCCACACTCTGACGCCCCTTATAAGATCTTATCGCTTGCCACCACTTTCTTTCACCCACCCTCATGGTCCCCGCCTCATCCCACAGAATATGAATGGGTTCAAACCTGTTACTGCCGATGCTAGGAGAACAACAAAACTGGTGGCCTTTGCATTCCATCGCACGTTGTCATCTCTTATCACCTGCTATCACCATTCTTCGCTCTCTATTCGGGTACCCGTCACACAGCACATTACACTTATGAGTGGAAACTCTCCACTGTCGACGCGAATGGCGTAGCGAAATTGGTGATGTGTTTTCCGACGTCCGTTATCAGCTCTAATCAGTAGTTATCAATTCCGATCACTCCCCATTGATGTGTGTTCAGCCCCCCGTACCACCTGAAAGTTTGAGCGCTCGGGTGACCAAAGGGACCGAAGTTATAAATTTCCGGTCAGACACACACACAACCGCTTAGCCGATTATATATACTAGGATGCCTTATCACTCACTTTATTTTGCGGACGGACAGACATACAGTCGATATCCGAAAGCTGGTGTTGGTGTGTCACCGGAAGTGACGTGCACTTGATAGAAGTGCGTGGATAAGCTGTTGCCAGCTTGCTTTGCTGATAGTTGATAGCGATGTATGTTGGAAGCGGCTTATCTCCATAGTTTCTATCAAGTGCACGTCACTCCGGCGACACGCCCACCCCAACTCACCGATATTGAGTATACATAAATACGTACAGACATACATACAAACCTACACATCAAGTTAGCACTTTCTATAAAAAAGGATACCGATAAAATTTTACAAATTACGTCTTGTTTTGAAAACAAATGGCTTGAGCGCTCCATAGATAGCGGCTGGGTTAAGGAATTCCATCTTACAGCGCTAATTTATACTCGTTATTTTGCATACCTGAGTCCATCCTTCAGCACCGACCGATCCCGAGGAGTCAAGAATGAACATAATCGATTTGCTTTCACCATGTTTCTGCTCGCAGTAGTAACAAACCATTCCCTTAAAACCGAAACTAAGAAGCAGCCTCATTGGGCAAATTGAAGAGTGATTTAACAACTCGTTTTCGATGGAAATCTCATTCAAATGGTCTTCCAATAAATTTTAAGACAGGGTTAAAACTGCAACATTTGTTGGCCGGAAGTAGCTAAACACATAACAACTTCAACTAAGCTATGCTCCATCGGAATCGACACAATTTTACCACTTTTCAATTCCTGGCCGATGAAATTTGAACCAAGGTTTGTCACTATAGTCACTGCAGTGGTGTTCATTTCCTGTGGACGTCCGGATCGGTCGTTCAACTCGGTGTTGTAATCCCGGAATGTATTATAGCAAAGGAACAAGCGCTTTCGGCACTATTTGTTGTCTTCGCCCGACTGATGTTTCAGGCACCCGTTTTAGCGTCGTGGTCCAGTTCAAACTCGTGGTCAGACGAGTTGCAAATCAACTCTTTCGATACAGCCATTGAGAAACAAGTATCCTTACTATATATAAAGCGCTATGTCAGCACGTCGCAGCAGTCGTCAGGAGCTGATTTTGGGACATTATGTAGGGGGTGGGACGGAAATATATTTGGTGGGGGTCAAAACGTGATAACGACTGATGAGAGCAGATAAGAGGCGCTGAAACACAAATTTCACGAAACTCATAGTGCGCTTCGCAGCAGTCGTCAGGAGCTGATTTTGGGACATTATGTAGGGGGTGGGACGGGAACAAATTTGGTGGGGTCACCAAGTGATAACGACTGATAAGAGCAGATAAGAGGCGCTGAAACACAAATTTCACGAAACTCATAGTGCGCTTCGCAGCAGTCGTCAGGAGCTGATTTTGGGGCATTATATAGGGGGTGGGACGGGAACATATTTGGTGGGGTCACCAAGTGATAACGACTGATAAGAGCAGATAAGAGGCGCTAAAACACAAATTTCACGAAATTCATAGTGCGCTTCGCAGCAGCCGTAAGGCACTGACTTTGGGGCATAATATAGGGGGTGGGACGGGAACATATTTGGTGGGGTCACCAAGTGATAACGACTGATGAGAGCAGATAAGAGGCGCTGAAACACAAATTTCACGAAACTCATAGTGCGCTTCGCAGCAGTCGTCAGGAGCTGATTGCGAGGCATTATATAGGGGGTGAGACGGGACATATTTGGTGGGGTCACCAAGTGATAACGACTGGCAAGAGCAGATAAGAGGGCTTAAACGCAAATTTCACGAAACTCATAGTGCGCTTCGCAGCAGTCATCAGGAGCTGATTTTGGGATGTGATATAGGGGGTGGGAGGGAAATATATTTGGTAGGGGTCAAAACGTGATAACGACTGATGAGGACTGATAGTATCGATATGCATACGAACGTAGAGAGCCCTTGAAATAGAAAATAGAGAGCAGATTGTAGATAATGCCTTTCATTTCAGTGTCATTCATTTCATCAGCGTTGTAATTGTAAACTCAAACACCTTTCGAACGCTACACCTTCTGAGTTCTTGAGGCGGAGCTAAACTGGTATTTTATATTGGGTTGTCCCATAATTCCTGTCCGAATTTCGACACTTTCTTCCCATCGAGTTTTATCTTTCTCAAAAACCGCCGAATGATCAATATATAACCATTATCATAATCATCGGTATATATCCGTTCACCAGGGAACCTTTGGATGCTTTCCTCTTAGAACAGGTGAAACTATTCGTCAAAGAATTCAGCAAGGTCGTTTTTGGAGTGGTCATATTGAGTGTCTTTTTTCTCTCGCCGCTGCTAGCTGAAGGCACTGCAAAAGGGATAGCCAGATGGAGTGATGCCAGGGCTATACAATGGGCATGGTATCATGGTCTAGCCACTTTCCCTCAGAACGAAGCGAGCTACCTTTGCAATGTGAGGTGGGCGTCTACTCGGAGAAAGGGGATTATGGGACGTTTGGGACGGTTCTCTCCCACTACTGCGGCCAATCTCGGGAGCTGTTTCACGATGGCATTCGCGATACTTGTCCGCATATAGCAAAAGGACTGTGAAAACGGATAGTTCACTTAATCTAACAAATCAAAATCAACATTCTCCGACCACGGAGTTTGAACTTTTGTTGAGCTGGCGAGCCCTGGATGCAAGGTAGCCATCAGGCGTGCTGCGTGTTGCTGTCGTAGTGAACTCATGACACATCTCCACTAGTGATCAATTAGGGAACGCTCTGCTATTGAGGTCACGGAATGAAATCCCCCAGAGGGTCAGAGCAGCTTCTCGGTCATGGCTGGTCGGTGCATATCGTTTCTATTCATTCTGCTGCTGCCTACTCTATCCTGATGGCGTGCGCTGGTGCATTGGCTGCGCCCAGGTGTCTGCTACAATATCCTTGTAGTAGCGTCCATGTGCACTTCCGAACCGTGGCGCAATGGGTTCTCATCGCAAGTGAATGGAGGCCCAGGATGAGGCTGATTTTCACAGCTCGTACTATCTTTGCCATTGTAAGCGAACCTCTCGCTCAGTATCCGATCAGGAGCAGAGGCTGAGCCAAACACAGCGCTGATCTTCTCTAGTGTCCTCCTTGAAGTGCCTCCATTTGAGGATCATAAAGCATAATCGTTCGTTATTTTCATTAATCTATTTCGACCTTTACTCAGTTGCTCCGATGTGAGTTTGACATTCTCAAACGTCCTGGCTAACGGTCTAGATGCACTCCTTAACATACCAACATATTTCGCCATGACAGTAATTCGACTAGAAGAAATTTGAACTCAATCAGAAACGGGCAGGAATTATGGGACAACCTAGTACTAAAAGATGCGCAAGAAAATTTTGCATAAAACGGTAGGAAAAGTGAAAATCTTCATGTCAGCATTGAACATTTTTCAATCCAGTTTCTAAACTTATTGAAAGATCCAATATTGGGAGGGGCGCTCAATAATTATTTTAGTAGTTTTTCTCTAGTCTCAGGACCTCTACGCCTTCACGTGTTCATCGACTCGGATAAGTAGCACTCAGATGGAGATGTCACAGGAGCCGTTAAGCGAAGAAATCAAATGCTCCATTTTGGTCTCGCACTTTATGGCTGATGAATTTTTTGGTGAAATGTAGTTGTCGTAAAGTGAGCTCATGAAGTCGTTGTTTTCGTTCCTCACAGTGATAAGAATCTAACTTCAGCACGCAACCGGTAGACTACCGTAACCCTGACGTGACATGAGTGCCCGCCGCAGTCGCATACTTCCACTCAGCTCGGTGTCTGTTGGATAGTGTCACACACATTCACACGAATACTACTCGAGAAGCCACTTCTATTTCTCTGCAATTACCGTGAAATCTATGAAAGCAGGCACCAAAGCCAAAAAATCGTGAATGCAAATGACACTAGATGAAGAAACCGCCAAAACGTTGTGAAAGCAAAGAATAGTCGACAATTTTCCACTGAAGGAGCAGCAGCAACCAATAGCTAATGTTGGAATTACACGCGATGGCGCGGCGTTGTTCATCTGCTCCTCCAAGGCTTAATCAGGAGATTCATCAGGAGACAGGAGATTACAAATTCGCCATTACGTGGCAGTTTCGAAATACGCGCCAACAATGACCCCCGAACCCGAGTCTAAACGTGAATGGCACATTCAGTGTTTGTTACGGAATCATAAGTGGTGATGTCAAGCTAAGTGCCAAGTATACAGCTACGCCGGACATGTATGAAGGTCGGGATTGCAGTAGACCATCGATTGCAGACCGAGGCTAGATCCTTGTCTACCATTAGGTGTCCTCTTTCGGACAGAAACAACTATCTCTAGAGATTCAAAAGGTGCGCGGAGAGGTGAAAATAAATCTGTGCGACATTTATATTGCACCCTAATATGTAGCTACATAGTATTATAGTCGTAACTACAAAGAAATCCTAGAGTAAAATCAGGATTAGAGTATACCGCAGCGCTTCCCCCTTGTAGTCGGCCCAAAACTGGTACATGTACCACGAAATTTCTCTATCACCGCGGCTTGGTCTTTAACTGAGCGTTTCCTCAACAGAATCAAAATCAAGTCAGAATCATCAATAGATCTCATCAAAAGCAAAAAAGGAAGAAATGACGTCGAGAAGTTTAATGGAAACGTAAAAAAAGGAAAAAGAAATTTGATGGAAATCGATCTCCCGGCATTTATGGAAATGTATCATTGTATTAGAGCCGAAATCGGGAATAGATAGGACGCCCCACACAGCTGGGTAAGCGCTAATTTTCTAATCTACCTTCAGCCAAAGGTATGCTTCATAGCCTATTGGCCCGTTAAAGGCAAATGTCGGGCTCAAAAGGGTTTACTGTGGCGACTGAAACTGAGTATAGAGAGCGAAGTGGAACTCTAGTGGAGAAAAATGAGAAAAACCGTCGACAAGGCCAAAACCCTCTTTCTCACTAGCAGTGAAGGAGGCTGTCTTGGGGAAAGAGTCACGCACAAACAAGTTTTACGGAGATGTCAGCCGTTTTATCGGTTGATAAGGCAATCACATTTCACACGTTATGCCAGCATTTCCAGAGGTAGGCGATCCTGGATTGACCAGGCGGCCCTGGATTGAAACCGAACTCCCCGGGGCCCTAACGGGGTTTTTCAAGGTGGACAGTAGCTGCAATGTGTGCAGCTACCCACATACAACCTCAAGGCAGGGGAAATACTTCTCTAGCGTGCCTGAGCTCGACCTTCCCTTTGAAAAAGCAACGCTACATGTTTTACGCTCAGAAAGTATCGAGGAAGTGCCGAGTAATGATTTAAACGAGCTAAGAGACTCACGTATTCGACAAGCCTGTACTTATCTGGATACATTCTTTTGCCATCAGTATCAGGATTTTTGCATTCACACCGATCATCTATTTCTATGTAATGAGCTCCTCGACCACAGTCGTCATCTGTCTTTTTGCGTACTCTTGTTGTTGATGTGGCAGTGGTGGCTGTGGTTGTGGTTGTAGTTGTTACTGTAGTTGTTGTTGGACTAGTAGTCGTCTCAGTTGGTATTAGCGTGGTTGTTGGTGTTGTAGTTGTCGCGGTGGTCGGAGTTCGTAATTGTAGTTGTAGTTGTAGTTGTAGTTGTAGTTGTAGTTGTAGTTAGTAGTGTTGTTGTAGTGGTCGCCTTTTTTCGATTAGTTCCTAAATGACATGTTGTAGTGATTAGCTATCCGAAACGTACTTGTGTAAGTGGAGCCATTTTCTGGAATTCATCTTTGGAAGTATTGTTAGGGATTAAGTGATCGTATGTAAGCCCCTTGCGTAATTGTTCTTGTGGAAAACAAAAGATCACCTTGCGGTATGGGCACCTAATGAGTTTAGTGAATCGTCCACTCATGTGAAACCTACGGTGTCGCATTAATGGTCTATATCTACTTTCCAAAATTTTTGGTGGACATGACAAAAAATGATGGGAGAAGCCAGCCATCAACAGAGCAGAACTGAGGGACAATGTACCCGTGCACTATTTGAGTGGCTGCTGTGAATGAGATTCCACGCTGATAAAACACTTCATACCAGTGTCCTCACACCTGCTCTACAATGAGGGAGCTTGTCACTTGTGGAAAATAATACGCACTGGAAAAGGAAGCTGACATTTGTCAGGGAGTGGAGCTAGTCGAAGTGTAACACTGCTTTGCCCTAAAGTCGACATTTTCCATTTGGGCCAGTGCTGCTTCATTCTACTTATGGTTAGTTTATTTTATTTTTATTTTAGAGTGATCCGCACTTCAACCACCTTGAGCAGGCAATCTCGACATTCTATTTTACCCCTCCGAAAAAGGGGTCTGGACAGACAAGTCCTATTCGCTACAGCGTCTTTGGTGCGAAAAAGTGAAAAAGTGAAGTGGCATTCCGTAGAGTCACGAAGTTTTGGAAATATGGAGTTGTATTTCGCATACTCTGAGACCGAATCAGCTCCAAACACGATCTGACGTCGTCATATTTCTGGCGTTTTCTCATGATATTTCCAATTCACCATCCAGTATATTTATTTAGAGAGATGTTGAGTTGGTGCAGTGTTATAACAAATACACAACCGGAAGAAGCCTAGCTCAAACAGTTGGAGTTTTGACAGTAAAACGTACCCCCCCCCCAATTTTACTCTTCTAAATTGTTGCCGGAATACTAGAGAGGTCTTGCACTGAGATCGATGGTCAACAGCTTGACAGCGACGCCTTAAAACTGAAAGCGGAGGGAGGCGGAGTTCGCTTTCTTCTCGACACCCTTACCTTGAGAGAAGGTGAAGGACGGGCTATTAGGCTGACGAATTTTGCAGCACTGTAGTGTGGCGCTAAGTTCGTGCCAATGAATGGCTACCCATGCAGCTCTATAACACCCTTCCTCTGGGAGAAATCCTTACCGCCAGTATGTGGTTACAACGCTGACATCAGATGTTTCGTCGGACAGAAATTCAAGGAATTTCGGAAGGAAGGCAACGGCTTCCCATGCACAGCAATATTTGTTAGATAGTGCTATTGTGTGTTTGGATGAGCAAGCATTTGATTGAAATGAAAAACTTAAAAGTTGATAAATAATCCTACTATATATAAGCGGCTAGCATGTGTCTGTTGATGTGTGTGTGTACTGTTGTGTGTATGTTTGAACGGAAATTCATAGCTCGAGTCACAGTAACGATAGCGCAGTGTTCTTAAATATTATTAGGGGTGGATGGGACACAAGTGGTACCTGTAGGAATCGATAATCGGGACTGTAATAGCTGATAAGGAGCGGCTAGTAAATCGTAGCTCCCAATTGTGTTTGCCTTCATATTTGGTAAGAGAGGTCTAACTTCAAGTTTAGGTGGGCGGTCCGGGAACATTGTGTACATGATTGGATACGATAGCAATTGATAATGGCGATAAGCGCTTACAGAAATGCTGAAGTCGACGGATATCACGTTTGCCTGGCTTGCCTTGACCACAGCAGAGACCAATATTACAAGTGTTATAGTGGAGGGGAGACGTACATTGTTGCTGAGTGCTAATAAATGAAGATTGATGAGGCCGATAAGGCGCGTACAACGGTGAAGTTGTCGAGTTCCGTTGCTTGGCTCGCCTGACACTCAAGCAACCATACTTAAAGTTTATGTAGGTGGGACGGGTAATTGTGTTGGGTGCCCGAATATTGAAAGATTGATAAGGCGCTGGAAATGTGTCAAGGACGCAAAGTCGTTATGTTCGTTACGCAGCGTTGAACTAGGCGTATCCTACTTTAAAATTGTGTAGATGTAGTAGTACAAACAAGGGTACGTGCCATTTAATTTCGATATATATGTCCAGTCTACTTATAGAAATTCGAGTGCAAATTTTTAGAAAGAAAGTCTTCAGCGATATGATAGTTTTCATTTGACATATTATTGAAGATACCGATTCATTTAACGCCGCTTCGTGGGTCTAAGTAATGATGAATGTAAATATATGATAAGCATGAGCTCCCACTTATTAAATAGGGTATTCGTTTTGACTTCAGAGACTGACATCAATCGCTATTCACCGCAAATTATTCTTGAATTCGAGTAAAAATGAGGTGGAGTTTACAGTGTGGATATGTGCAGTTCAGCAAATCAGGGTATTCTCGGACGATTCGTTGAAACTGTGGAGAGGCCTAACACAAATCAAAATATGAGATGTAAGTTTAAAACTTATCTTGTGCCTACGAGTTTTCGGAACTTTTATTAGTGCCTAACGTTTGACTGATTCGTGTAGCAAGAGGCTAGAAGTTTTCAGGTGTAACACGCTATACACTCACCAGGCCTGCATCAAACTCTACGCGGGGTGCGACATCGTGTGCAGAAACTCGAGAAGATCAGGACAGCCAAAAATAACTCACGGCGGTTCACCCTTCGAGCGAAAAAGTCGCTGACACCAGAGCCGCTGATCATGTCAAGGAATGAAGAATAACCAATACTGTTCTCTTTATTGTCAAAAAATTCGGGAGACGCAACCGTTAACGCGAACAGTAGCGTTTAGTGGTCTCCGGCTATTTTTGACACAAAGGGAGACAGATATGGTATTTTCCTTCATTCTGATGATCTAGCGACTTGTGATCAGCGAATGATTCCGCGAAAGGTGGGAACCGACGGGTAGTTTATTTCTTGCGCTGTCTGATTTCTCGAGGGGTTTGTGAACGATGGCGAACAGTAGAGTTGCATGAGGCGCGTTCCGGTGTGTAGAAGGTGAAGTCTAAACGCTTGAAACACGTGTATCAAGGCCTCGGAAGCGACTGATTCAGTCGAAACGTTAGGCATAATAAAGGTTTCACCGAACAATTCGTTAAGGACGAAAGAAATTGAAACTTAGAACGGACATGCCGACGGTAAAGAAGATGAGAGTGGAGAGAATAGGTGAGATTTAATAAGACTCACTGCTGATATTCCATGGGTCCTCTAATTTCGCTAAAGCCTGCCGTGATGCGCGCGATAGCGGGCGAAGCAAAACTGGTCAAAGTGATTCATTAATTAGGGAGCATCAATAGCTAGAGGCCTCATTTCAACACATTAACGACAGCGCGCGATTTGACTTGGTCGGTCACGTGGGACAGCCGCAATTTTGCAAACGCCATCGCCCCAGCGTGCATCCGCGAATTTTGAATGATAACTTCGCGAAGCATTAATGGCACCGAATTCATGAGTTCATCTTGACGAATTGATCAACTCTATCAATTCCTCAAGATGAACCCCTTGCGATCTTGAGTCGTTATAATCGGAACCGACTCAAGTGTTCTCAGGAAGCCTTGTGCCACTTATATTGATGTTGTGGGCTTCTTGCACCAAAAATGTTAGGTGGTTCAGTGGACTGCTTGTTTATGACCCAATTAATGAGTGATGGTGCCGGATCCGGACCAATGTCTCAACTGAGAAGCAATGCATTAGTCAACTTATGATATTTATCGTAATTACAGGGCAATAATAAACCAACGTCTTGTTACCGGTGTAAGGAGGGTGCGTGCCCAACTATGGGCCTGCTTGACCCCTTGTGGTTTAGGGGCGTGACTAGCTTAGAGATCGTTGACTCAGACAGAAGACGACGATTAGGGATTAAGATCGTCAACTTAGACGACGATAAGCCTAGTTAATGGAAAGGAACGACAATCTAACGAATCTCCTCTTGACGTAGAAGAGAAATTGCCACTTTGTCACCGCGTATGTCCTCTTGGCTACCAGGACCATTTGTTTTCAACCGTTCTCTACTTGGCAGAAGGGAGTTCTCACCATTTGGAGACAAAGTCTAAGAGCTCTTCTACGAGCGATTCTCCATCAGGTCTGACCATCTTACTCCATGGTCCAGTTTTTTGTATATGAATCTAAATCTTGGTTTCGGTAAGACTCGGCTGTAAGAGTTATCCATTGCATTGGTTATGAAGATGGTATTAATTTAAGCGCTATCACCATTCAGCGTCAACCCTTTTCGATCAGTTGTTGAAGGAAAGGAATATGCTCACGAGGGTGCTAGCGGGCGCTTGTAACCACGATTACCAGTTACTCAGAGGTGAGTGCTACTCGGCGGCAACCTGTCAACGCCAATCTGGAAGACAAAATGCAACACCGTGAAGAGTTGAAGCACAATTACTTGCTCTGCCGCGCCAATAAGAGCCTGCCTGATCTGTTGTACCTCTGTCCAGGCGGTTCGTCACCGAATCACGGTGAAAATAAAGTTTGGGGGGGGCACTCATAATATCTAATCGAACAGGCAATATCTAATTGAAGTGGAGCTGCGCTAAGGCGGTCATATCTAATCACCATCCGGAGCACGGTCTCTGAGTGTATGATTAGATAGGGATATCAATCCGTGCCAAAAATCGGATACCTGGGAGGCCCTTTCTTCGAAGGCTTCCCAGGTATCCGATTATGTCATGGCAGTCGCAAGATGGTTTGATGAAAGTAAGAAGCCAGCAGGGTAGCACCCGTTTTAGCCCTGGACCAATATGACAAGGGTGAGCGTACTAGTCCGGTGGCTACGGTCTTAGTAAAAGATATGATAAGATATAAGTGCCTTCCCACAACTTTACTTTGATCAGATATGAGGGTCTTTCCGCAGCTTCACTTCGATTAGATAGAGTGCCCCCCCCCCGAACTACATTCTCAAATAATGAAGGTCTCGAATTTCCAGTTCGTGATGATATCGTGAGCACATCTCCGTTCGAATTTCCTATTGTGAGTTGCAATCCACGAGAATCATTCAGCATGCATCCCAACGCTAC